TAGAATAAAAGAAACATATATTGGTCTACTACTTCTTCAAGTTTGATCATGTAAGATCAAACAAACATACGTCCAGTTCTTCAGGTTTGATCACACAAGACAACATAAACATATGTAGGTCTACTTCAAATTAGATTACACAAGACAACAAAATAAACAAATTACTTCCAAGTTTGATCGCCTAAGAGCATGATCTAAACAAGAGTCATAGAGGGAAGATGTACCCCTCTGCCAAGTTGTTGAGCTTGTCCCTCACAAGTAGAGACCAAGCAATGACAACCTGCAGCTTAGCATTGCCAATAGTACATTCTTGAGTGCTTATTTGGCAATGTTGAGCAGGGAAGTCTAGCCGGGCTTCATCAGCAACAATACCAGACTCTGAGTAGCCTTTCATGATAATCCTAAGCGATCCTTTTGATTCCACAGTAACAACATTCCTTGACAGAGGAAGGTAACCATCTAGTCCATCTTCGGGAAAATTTTCAACAGAATCAAGCAACACAACTTGCCGACATGAAGCAGCAATAGCACCTTCAGTAGACGTTGAACAAGAAACTTGTACACCATATTCAAAAGGAAATCCCCCTCCAACAACACGAATAGACAAGATAGTGGCCTGGATCGCACTACGAACAGTCTGAAGGCCCACCTCTGCACTACACAGGCAGCCAAGGAAAAGAGCAGTATCACCACCGAAATGGTGGTGGTTAGTAGAACTCATCAGTGCTTTGTCTTGGGGCTCTGCTCCATCTTTTATCCTTAGTTCAACTTCAAAGTCAACAGGGTACTCGGCCAGAATAGCACGAGAAGGGCCAGTCAAGTGCAAAAAAGGATCCTGCAAACATCATCATCATTGTTGTCATTACTAACGCTAAAATGAAACATATGAGATTACATGGAAAGTATTACAAAGGATTAAATTTAAATAGACCATCACAACTTTGCTTAGGAACAAACTCAATGACTTTTATGTTCCTCATAACCGGAACATGAAGCTACAAGACATGTTCATATTGGAAAGTTAACCAAACTGGAGAAGTACTTAGTTACTTAGATGCATAGGCATAGTCAATCTGCATGCTACTTGTGTTTTACTCAGGTGCAAGCACGAGGGGTTTTGTGCCTGCATAACACTTTTTATTTTTTCCCTCTTATCTTTCTTTCTATCTTCGATGTCTCAAGTAAATAAAACAATTTAAGCTCCGGTGCATGCTCAAGTAGCTAGATAGGATGTCTTTCCTACATGGACGCCTAAATACGGTATCTTGTTAACTCAATAGTGTATCTCATTAACTGAAACACGTAGCAGCGAGTCACCGAATCAAATGTCCAAGTTACATCATTGTGGTACCGAGGCATCAAATATCTACTTATTTGCGTCAATATAAGTGAGCGTAGATAATCACATGAAGGTTGCCATGTAATGTTTAGGAGGAAGATAATCTGTGCTATATTGCCGAAGTTACAATTGTGAAATGTAGCAACTAGATAAAAAAATAAAAGTGACAGAGCTGATAAAAAAATGAGATCTTTGCCAAGGTGAACAAATAACACAAAGTACCATCTCGCTCCTTTTTTGTTTCAATACATGTATATTCTTGCTTGCAAGGTCATATGAATCATCTATTTTTTCTTCTTATGGTTGTTTTAGTTGCATGCGCCTTAATACAAATAGCTAAAAAATACAGATATTTTGCTTAGAGAGGGTTTGATTTGTTGCCTGCCGTGCTTAATTTACAGAGGTGCTATCTATCTGTTTGTTTGAAATGCCTATGAATGAGAATGGTATTCCCTTCCTAAGAGATTTTTGTACTGATGGACAGAGCACCAGGAATTAATTGTCATATTGATTGTTTGAATGTTCCTCTTGCTGCTGACAACAGTACAATTGATTATATCTCTGAATGAAAACTGACTCATCTTCCATGGTCATTAGAAGGTCGAAACGGGAGAATGACCTCTACTTCCTAAAATGTTTTCATTTCAGTTTACTGAATAAGCTAAATATATATCTGGGGAGCAAGTGTTAGAACGCAGAAACCTATGATATTGCTGCTGTTGAGATATGTATGAAAATACTGGAACCAAATCTAACCATGCAACCATATCAACAAGGGCCCGCAGTCTGCCTGGAAGGTGCAGCATGGAAGCTGCTTGCATTAATCCAGAATAGATCTTGACTTCGGCCAGAAGTAGAAACTATTTTTTTCATATAACCTCTTGTACTAATTACAACTAGATATTACTCACAGAGTGAGTGTGTTATCTGCTGTGCTACTCGACTAATCCTGCTGAGCTTAATTCCATTTCCTTGATGTGTAGTTATGCGCTGATAGGGATAAACTTTGCTTCACTCAAACTGTTTTCATCCAAGAGTAATGATAATCAAGCTATGCTTATTTAAGAACCAGCAGAGCCATATCGACCAACATATTAATTTTTTATATTTGCTAGTGTAAATGCTTAATACACAAGAGCTCACATGCAAGAGGAAGAAAAAAAAATGTCATATACATACCTTTTCAGTGAGTACTTGGCAGTTAGCCCTGGAGCGGGAGAAGAGAATGTTGCGGTTACCATCCACAGCGTCTCGAGCAGCAACTACGCCGTACACATAGAGTGGCCACTTCAAGCTATCATCTAGATCAAAGATTTTGAAGGAGTAGATCTGCAATGCCTCGGTGGCGCAGCCGGAGTATGGGATGATACCAGGAGCAAAGGGGGTAAAGTACATAGGAGACAATGTGGCTGCAACATCAATGTGTTTAGTGTTATATAAATGTACAAATTACTAAACCAAGAGAAGTGCAATATTTTACTATACAAGAAGGAAAGCAGCATGTAATATGATTGCATTGACTGAGAAATGCATATTAAGAAACAAAATGGAACCAAAAGCAGGAAATACATGAGCACATAGGTGCTTCCCTCACCGACATCAAATCGGAACATCCACTTGGGAAACTGTGCACTTGTGTGTTCACCATCCGTATCACTGGTGTATTTCCTTTTAAATGCACTGTAGTCCTGATTTTACTACCTTAATCACTGCCTTCCAACAGCTAGTCCTATTTGACAACTTATTATCTCCATGTTCGGATGGTACGGTTCGCAAGGGCTCTGAGAGACGTATGTATATGATCAATCAATACCCTTGGTAATTACTCACTTGTCTTTACAGTAAATTAGTGAGAGTTGATTTGTTCCTAAATCTGACATGCATGATGCATTAGTACACTGACATTATATTCTAGGAATTTGGTGTGGGTTTTTTCTAATTTGTGGCACAAGCACTAATTCCCCCTAAACTAGTACAATGAGTTTCCCCAAAGTTACAAAGTTTCTACCAAATTAATTACTAAAACTTTTACTGTACAAGAAGGAAAGGCAGAAAGTGATACCATTGCACTGATTGAGAAATTGATTCATATTAAGAAAGAACATGGAAGCAAAGCTGCCATAAAGACTAAGTTAGGTTTTTTCAAAAAATAAAAGAGAGACTAAGTTAGGTCAGTTAATTAAGCAGCATAGATGGATGAACGGCTCTTACTTATGTCATTGAAGCCTCCACACCTTAACACGGGACTGCCCCAAATTGATTCCCAGCTGGCACGGCGCTCCTTGTAAGCCGAAATTGCAGGAGCAACCTGAGAATTAGATTTGCCTGAATTTGACGACCCTTGCCTCGCTATGATTCTGGAGATCTTCGCGCATCTTTTTGACAGGAGATAGAGTAATCTGACCGTCTCCAAGGGGATTGGGACACCGAGTTCCCTCAGAGACTGGACCCGGTAGCCCAGCTTGAGCGCCTCGTGCAAGAGCAGAGCGAGGGCCTCCTCTTGATTTGCAACGAGGTAGGGCAAACTGACCAGAGGCAGGTTCGCGACTTTCTGGTTCTGGAGGGACAAGTGCTCGACCAGCTGAGGTGATTCGAAAGATAGTGATCTCCCGTCGGGATGATGACGATTTAGGTAATCCTTCTTTCCGGCGATCGTCTCCAGGCCCCGGGACGTGGCCTCGCTCCTCAGGGAACTGGTCTCCCACCTCAGGGTCTCACGGTAGCGACGAAGAGCGTCCACCATGTCTGTTTTCGAAGTCGGCGCCCTGATGTCCATCTTCGTCTCTTCTCCCCAACACCGTTGATCTCTGTTTCCGCCGCCGCCGCCTAGGGCTTTTTCTTTTTCTTTTTATAGGATCTCCCTTTCCGCCGCCGCCTAGGATATGAGCTCCGCTATCTGAGTCCGTCTCCATCTATGTCTCCGCCGCCGCCTTCTTCTTTGACCGAAACCAGCAGTTTGCGTAATATAATGGAAAGGGCACGGCGTGGAGAGGATCGCTTATTAGTGCTCGCGACGGAAACTGATCTCGGCCTCGATCGCGAGCTAGCGCACGTCTGTCTAAACTGAAACACAGATCGCTCGATCGTCCAAGCTCTAAAAATCCACGTCCTCCTGCTGGGTAGGGAGATGGAATCCGTGACAGATCAGTCTGATGAGTTGTCGACGCTGATAGAGGATATCATCTCCCTGCAGAGGGAGCGCAAAGACTTGCTCGAGTCCCTTACTCCAAGGATTTCTCGCTGGGAGAATATCATCTCTGGAACAGCAACGTCGAGAGTCGCTGAAAAGGGAATAATGGCCGACAACACATCATCGGTCCCTGTGCAGAAGAACACGGACTCACCGCAGATTAGAGACGATGAGAAAGAACTAGTAAACTCCATCCTCCAAGATACGGAGGACTTGGGCCACCGGCTGCTGTCCATGTCACAGTATCTTTGGATTTCCCATGCCCCCATCTCCTTGTACACGGCCGATGAGCTGGTTACCACAACATCCAGATTAAAGAAAATCTCCAAGGATTTCTACAAGGCTACTGAGGAGGCGGCAGAGAAGAAGAGGAAGGAAGAGAAGGAGAGGGAGATGATGCTGACCCACGAATTCTTGCGTCTCTCCTCCAGTGTCCTGGCTAGACCCAACCTTTACAAGAATGAGTTGGCGATGATGTTTACGGTGGAGGATGAGGAGGAGTATGAGAGGGTCATGGAGGCGGAGAGGGAGATGGAGAGGCAGAGGGAGAACTGCAGGCGGCGGAGAAGAAAGAAGAGGCCCCCGAAGAAGCCTCCGATTGTGGAGGTGGAGCACGCTGCTGACGAGCAGGAAACGAAATCTCAAACGGAGCAACTCAAAGAGTGGATGGATGACGAGCTGGAATTTTTCGCAGGCCACCGTTGCATCTGGGAACGCTCTAGTGGCAGCAAGGCCGGACGGTGCGGCGGCTTCGAAGATAAAAGTAAGTAAAACATGCATGCTGCAGCTTAGCTTACTCAACTTTTTTTCCTTGGTCCGTTTGCTCTATTCATGTCTCAAAAAATTTCTGCATATCACTAATTTATTATCTCCTTGTTATTTTTGCAAGGAATGGAAGTGAATTGATTGTCTTTGCTTAACTTATTTATCATACTAGATTTCTGACACTTCACACCTTACCTTTGGTGCTGCAGCCACATTGAGTCCTATGCAGTTTACGCACTGCATACCCGGTATCATCCCGCCCCGTGCCGCTGTCACTGGGAGCACATTGCAGATCTACTCCTTCAAAATTGTTGAACTAAGTGATGACCTCAAATGGCCACTCAGGGTGTATGGTGTGGTCGCTGCCCGAGACACCGTGGACCGCAACCGCAACCTTCTCTTCGCTCGGTCAAGGATTAGGTGCCAAGTACTCACTGAAAATGTATGCATTGTTATATATTCAGTTTTCTCTTCGTTGTGTTTTTAAGCATCATTTCTTCTTTTTCTTCTTCTTCTTCAGCAAAACACTCCATTCATGTCTAATGATGATCTAATGCTTTGCAGGACTCTTCTTTGTGCTTGACTGGCCCGTCTCGTGCAATTCTAGCCGTAGACCCAGTCGACTTTGAAGTCGAACTAAAAATACATGATGGAGGTGATGAGCGCAAAGATAGAGAATTGATCTGGGCTATCAACCATTACGACATAGCATACAACGGTGAGCAGCCATCTTTAACCTTCCATAGCCCATTGTGTAGAGCAGAGTTGAGGCTTGAGCGACTTCCTACAACAGTCCAAGCCACTATCTTGTCTGTTCATGTTGTTGGAGGGGGGTCTCTTTTTAAATCTGGAGGCCAAGTTTTTTGTTCATCGTCTAGTGCAGATAGTAGTGCTGCCAGACGTGAGAAGATTGTGTTGCTTGATTATGTTGAAACAAATTCAGCAGCAAAAAATGAACGACATCTAGATGGCTACCTTCCCCTGTCAAGGAATGTTGTTTCGGTAGAATTTGGAGGAGGATTGGAAGTTGTGGTAAAAGTCTATGGGGGATCTGGTTGTACATGCGGTCATGTTTACTTCCCTTTCCAGTATTGCAACATAAGCCAGGGTACATGTTCCGTCTCTGGCTCTGAGGTGGAGATGGTTGTTGCTTGGTCCCGGCTTGTCGGAGACAAGATGGATATGTTGATCGAAGGGTATACTACCCAGGCATAGTGTGCTATATCTTGACCAGGAGTGCTACCCTGTTTTCCCTATTATATCGATTTTGCTTTGCTAAAACATTGCAAATATTTGTATGCTGGCAAGTAGGGGATGTCCCACTGTTTGTGTGTATCTAATCTATATTATGTTATATTCGACTGTATGTGTAATGAATATAACTTGTATTGTATTATGTTTCCATTAATGAGCAGTTGTGTGTGCGCGTTTGTTTGTTTTTGTCTGCATTTTAATCCTGCAGAGGCTGGGTGTCTGTTTGTTATGCTTGTATCCACCTAATGCGGCATTATGAGTCATGAAAAGCACCTTTACTGAAAAAAATGATCACTGACACTACTAGGAAAAAGCCTATACACAGAATCTTATCAGTAGCGCGCCTCAAAATAACTCGCTGCTGCTAACTAGCAGTAGCGCGGTCCACTGAAACTCGCTGCTGATACAAATATAGCAGTAGCGCGTCCACCCAAAGACACGCTGCTACTATAATTCCTACGAGGCCGCCGCGAGGCTAGTTATAGCAGCAACGCGTTAATACGACGCGCGCTACTTTTACTTAGCATAGTAGCAGCGCCTTTCCCAGACAAGCGCTACTGCTAAGTTTCCTAAAAAATTTAGTCCCACCTCGCTCCGTGAAGAGAGTTTATACCACCTTAAATATGTTACTTCTCACACTTTGACAAGCACTTGATCTTCATTGAACTCTATGTGTAGAATTTGTGGCTGCAATATGAGTCTTCACCTGTTCCTAAACCGGTGAGGACTCATATTGTCGAATGAGATTGTACACAAAAAGATCGTTGATGATCAATGTGTATTTTTGCATGCTGACATATAGCAATAGCGCTTTATCTTGAAAAGCGCTGCTGCTAGATATCTTACCAGTAGCGCATTTTGCTGAAGAGTGCTACTGCTAAGCCATCCATCTCCCTGATCTCCTCCCTTCGGATCCACTCACACACACAGCCACAAATTCTATCTGCGCCGCGCGCCCCCGGCCGTCGCCCCTCTCCTCCGCGCGTCTGCGCCGCGCGCCCCCGTCGCCGCTCCTCCGTCTGCGCCGCGCGCCGTCACCTCCTCCTCCTTGCTGGACTTGGTACCGTCCTCCTCCTCCGTCCTCCCTCTCCACTCGCCGCTGGCCGGCCCCTCCTCGCTCCGCCTTCCTCCTCCGTCCTCCCTCAACTGGCCGCGCCGGCCGGCCCCTCCGCGCTCCGCCTTCCTCCTCCATCCTACTCTCTTCTCCCTCCTCGAGTCGCCCTCCTTCTCCCTCCTGCTCATATGCAACATTTTGATTTAGATGATATAATTTAGTTGACTTAGTAGAACATTTTGATTTAGTTGATTTAGTAGGCTAGTTGATTTAGTTGCCTTAGAATATTTTGATTTAGTTGACTTAGTAGGTTAGTTTATTTAGTTGACTTAGAACATTTTGATTTAGTTGATTTAGTAGGCTAATTCATTTAGTTAATTTAGTTGACTTAGAACATTTTGATTTAGTTGATTTAGTTGACTTAGAACATATTGCTTTAGTTGACTTAGTAGGCTAGTTGATTTACTTGACTTAGAACATTTTGATTTAGTTGATTTAGTGGGCTAGTTGATTTAGTTGACTTAGAACATTTTGATTTAGTTGATTTAGTAATCCTTTGCTCATATTGCTTTAGGAAGAATGGCGCCACCACCACCACTATGTCAACTGTGCAAGTCAAGATGCGCCAGCAGCCTTGCAACTGGCAAGCTGTTCGACATCTACTTCCGGCTGAGTTTTCGTCATGCGGCGGTAAGAAATTAGATGAAATGTAATAACTATTTTATTTTTAGTGTTGGCATTACTGCATTGTGTCATTTTGCTTAGTTTACACAGATCGTCCCATGCAATGTGAGGTTGAAATTCAACAAGCTGACAGGAGACACTGTGACATTTGAGGCTCCTGGGGGCCGATACACTATGGAGGTCGAGAAAGGACGCAATATGTCGCAGATTGGAGGAGATGGATGGGCCGGTTTCGTCGCTTGCATGCATCTTACTGGTGGTGAGTTGATCAGCTTCAACTTCCGAGTAGAAAGACCCAAGCTAGCTGTCATTTATCTCAACCTGGTGGAAGATGATGAAGATGACGAAGATGATGAAGATGATGAAGATGATGAGGACCCACTTCATGAAGCCATCGTAGCTCAAAGAACAAGGCTGAGTGAGGAGGAGGTGTCCAACCTGTGGGACATAATTCCGCCACGTGCTGACTTTGTCGGGGTGCCATTCGTTACCCGCTTGACAAATACCATGGTTGATCGACATGATATGGTATGTTATACTTAAAAATGCAAATTAATAGTGTGAATTACTTAGTGTACAGTCCAATGATATGGTATATGTTGTGTGGAATCTAGTCGATGATATATATGTTTTAGTGTAGAGTTCGATCACATGCTTATTAATTGATATGTTTTTCTTATTCAGAAATTGGCAAAGAGCATATCTATGAGTTATGGTATCGAGCCTGATGAAGAAGGCTCAGCTAGACTACGCCTTACTGCAAGGGGCTCCGTCACAACCTGTACTTACCGCGTGGACACGGACGGTCGCACACACTTAAGCTCGGTTGGGTGGAAGAAATTCCCCGATGGCAAGAATCTTCGTGTTGGACAGGCCATCCTAATTACTATCAGGAACACCAACCGCCCAGGCTTGAGGATGATGATTGTCTTCGATATCATCTAGAACTACATGTGTGTGTGTCTATATCATCTAGAACTACATATGTGTGTGTGGCTATATCATCTAGAACTACATATGATGATCGTCGTCGATATCATCTAAAACTACATATGATGATGGCCGTTGATATGACCATGCATGTACTGCTTGAGGATGCATGTTGGCTATGCATGAAATTGTTATCTTAGTACTCCCTTCATTCCAAATTACTCGTCGTGGTCTGAACTAAAACCACGACGAGTAATTTGGAACGAAGGGAGTACTACCGTACCTAGTAATGGTTTATGAATTTGATGAAAGATAGTACCTAGTTTCTAGCATCTGAAGGGAGAGTTGAAATGGAAAATGATGAAAGAGATAGCAGTAGCATGGGATGAAGAAATCGCTACAGCTAGTTAATAGTAGCGCGTTCCTAAAAAGCGCTGCTGATATCGTTCAACAGTAGTAGCGCTGGTTGGGGCCGCGCTACTACTATGAGTTAGCTGTAGCGCCTTATTAGTAGCGCGGCCACCCGCGCTGCTGCTAGCCTGAAAACCCGCGCTGCTGCTAGCCTTTTCCCTAGTAGTGTGAGCTTTCATGCGCATCTAGTCTCACATTATCTAAGCTGAACATTGTTTTTCAAAATTAGTTGGTTTCTGCCTTTCTCAAGTAACCAAGCCAAGCCAATAATAGAGTGCAATCTTTGTCTCACTCTAATTAGTATCATGGAAAACCTTATGCACCTATGGAAGCTTTGCTTCTCCCTGTAAGCTGGAATCTGATGTTGCCATTTGCCAAAAGCTGGGACAGCACTAAACATGTTCATGTTATAGTTATTACTATGATATAGTACTATGTTGAATTGCTGATTTTTTAGAAACATGCACAAGTAGCGCCCGGATTTAAATTACCCAAATTCTAGAAAGTGCACCTATGCTCGTTGGTTGTCCTCCTGAGTGCACGCGTCGTCCACTTCTACCGACAAAACAACATACGCGTCGTCCACCTCCCACACCTTATCCGCTCATCCTACCTCCTTATCGTCGTCCCACCACCAGCCACCCTACTCCTCTTCCCTGCCACGCATCCCTCTAGCATGCTCCTCCTCCCAGTTACGCGGTTGCCACCCCGATCTTGCGCTGCGCGCCGCGCCAAGCACAACCCCTGTCGCGTCCTCCTCTTACCTACTCCCGGCAATGAGTGTAGCACCCAACACACGCCCGACCGTCCCGATCCTCCTGGTGACACACACCACGCCCAGCAGGACCTGCTCCACATATCCCCGGCGCCGCTGGTCACCAGCCCGTTATGCCCCTCTACGGCGTCGGCTCCCCCTATGGTGGGTGGCTTTGGTTCTACGGCGGGTCATGTTTATTTTCCTTCCCAATATTGCAACATAAGTTAGGGTACATGTTCCGCCTTTGGCTCTGAGGTGGAGATCACTGTTGCTTGGTTCCGGCTTGTCAGGGACAAGATGGATACTACCTAGGTGTAGTGTGCTATATTGACATGGAGTAGTACCGGGTCTGCCCTATTATATCTACTAGAACATATGCCCATGCCTTGCAATGGGAAAAATGGATGTGTCCAACGAACGCCCATCAGCGTGGCATGACAACATCCTCGGAGGCTCGAAGGTGCATGCTGACGTGTAGAAGAAATGTGTATCATGCTTTAATCTTCATTAATTGCGACGGATGCATGTCCTGACCACTGAATGAGTAGGAATATTACATGGTAGTTTACTTTTAATCATTGTAAGAATTTAATTCATCTCATAATCTACATAGATCATTGAAAGAAATAATAGTAGAACTTACAAAAAAATAATTATGAGATAGGCACAACAAATCGGAATGGGGAGAGTGTGTTATACTCCTTGAGAATGCATTATATCTGAATTGCTGGTGATAAGCACTTATATCCTCGACGCACACGTTTTAGAAAATTGATGAAATGCATATACCAGGATATTCGGATTAAGTACTTTAATGTGTTTTGCGCCAGACACGAGCGCTGCATTGGATCTGGATCAATCCTCCGCTCCCCATCGTGCCACTTATTCACCTTATCCGCAGCAATTCTAGTGTGGTACCCAACTTTTTCTTGTCATCTTTGCAATTTGAGTACAATAATTTTTTGTGATCCTCTACATGCGTTGTAACTTCAACTTCTCCTTTTTATTTTCGCAGTTTCTCTTTGCATCAGGAATGGCCTGACCAAGATCATCGGCGGGCTCATCTGATGCCTCTTCTTCAGCTTCTTCCCCCATAGTAGTACCATTGTATTCCAGGAACCTAGG